CTCTGTCCATGGGATTCTCCAGGAAAGAATACTGGAGTGGGTTGCCATGCCCTCCTCCAGGGGATCCTCCCAATCCAGGGATCAAACCCACATTTCTTATGTCCCCTGCATTGGCAGGCACATTCTTTACCACTGGAGCCACCGGGGAAGCCAGCTTCCCTCTGTATCAGAGTCCAAGTTTGTATTCAGGGCTTTCTTAACTCTGTATCCATGTTTCCTTAAAATGTGCTATTGAGCAGAAAGAATGAAAAAGAAATATATATTTTTTAAATAGCAATTTCATCTTTTAGATATTAACCAACCAGTAAAAGCACCATGCCTACATACTACTTAGTTTATTTAAACCCCCTACACACCATCACTGCTCAGTGAGGGAAAAATGTCCTTGAAGATTTATAACCTGCTGAAAAGCTGGCTTTTCAGTTTACAAATGAAGGCTTTGGTTGGTAGACTAAAGCCTTTTTTTAGATAAATATGTTTCTTTGTTTCAAAGTGTAAAAATTATTCATATGTGTTACATTTGCTCATATAACAGATTCCGCTGGGGCCATGATTTCAAACTGTTCTTTTTGCTTTATTTTGCTCACCATATTTCTCTTGCTTTTGTCCTGTAGGCATGTTCATATTTCACATCTAATGCTTTGCCGTTGAAGATTACTTTCATTAATGCCAATCCAATGGGCAAAAACATCAGTGTCATTTTTAAGGTACAGTAGCTCTCCTGAAACATCAAATTGATCCCATAGATAGGACTATTGATTTATTACTCAGAAAAATAGTATAGCTCTATTCCTCTGGCAACAGCACAGAAGATGCCAGTTATTTTCGATTCCTCATTTTCACAGAATTATAGTACATGCCAAACTATGATTGGCAATAAATCCAAACTTACTGGCTCAAAGCCAGTGAATCTTCAGTGCAAAACTCTTGGAGGTATGTTTCAATAAATGAAATTGTATGATCACTTTTGAGTAGTACAGAAAGCAGAATTGTGGTAAGTTTCTCGGGGGAGAGTCTTCTTTTGGCCTTCATATTAAATTTGAATCAAAATCAGCTGAAACTCAAATGATATGATTTAGCATAAAATTTTTCTTAGTGAGCACTTGCTTATTTTAGTAATTTGGGTTGTTGTCTTCTTTTTAAATAAAACATAAATATGGGCCATAGCAGTCTTTATCATGAATCCCATGGGCCCAGTAGAGTAAAAAGTTACCTACAGTTCAGTAGGAACAAAGGAAACATTTGCCGGTCATTCGATTAATGTGTTAAATGACTCAGCCAAACCAGAAAACAAGGTCTCAGAGTGGAATTTGTATTCAATTCTGACTAGTTTAAGGATCACACTTGTTAGTACATCCATATTTTTGCTGTGATCTGTGTAACCTCAAGCATTAAGAGTTCCCCCAGCACTGCATTTTTAGTGAAGGAAAAAAAACCACACAAAATCTCATTGTGGCACACAGTCTTCTGCATATAATTTAGAAAGCATTTTCAAAACTGAGCCTCTTGGTAGCTAACAGCATAGAACTGTCCTTCCCCTTTGGACATTTTCCATTTCCTTCACCTATGCTAGAAAATCACCCTTTGTGATTTCTTGTTATCAAAGGCCATTTATTCTGAAAACTCTGTAACTGCCTTCAAAGTAAGAGAAGCCAATGAATCAGTCTGATGAATCATATATGTGCTATTTATACTCCCAGTCAAGAAGCTCCAGGTAATTTAACTGTATATCAGTGTATAAATTTGTAACACATCAAATACGTTACTTTTAAAGAGATGTCACTTGGCTGAGTTTGAAACTTGAATGAATGTTTGTCTAGCCTCTCTTCACCAGACTTTGAGGTTAAGAGGCTGCACATGGATAGTAAATTGAAATATTGGTATCAAGGAACAACATTCCAAGACACTTCTAATTTGATGGCTAAAGCTTCTATAATCATTTAAAAGAAAGTTCTTATTTTCTTTGATCTTCTATCAGAAACACAGGGTACTCTTAGTGCTAACAGAACAACTGAAACCACCCTAAGTCAGACTGGAAAGTTATTCAGAGAAGGAAATGACATATACTGTTGTTGAAAACTTTCAATGAAATTCAAGGAGAAACCCAGAGTCTATAATTTTGTTTCTAACAGGCTGGAGATGATCTCCGTCAGGATATGCTTGTTCTGCAGATTATTCAAGTGATGGACAATATTTGGCTGCAGGAGGGCCTAGATATGCGAATGATCATTTTTAGATGTCTATCCACAGGAAAAGGCCAAGGTCAGTATAGATTAGAAAGCTGACTTACTTTACTTATCTCATACATTTATTGGTAATATGCCCTCAGACTTTCTACAACTTTCATTTTAGATGACAAATTTTAAAATCCAAAGAACTAAACATAGTCATTCTTCTTTTTTTTTTAACAAAGAATTAGTTTTAAAAACAATAAGTCAAGATAATTTAATATCATCAAGTGATAAAGTCACTTCAGTCGTGTCTGACTCTTTGTGGCTCTATGGACTGTAGCCCACCAGGCTTCTCTGCCCATGGGATTCCAGGCAAGGATACTGGAGTGAGTTGCCATTTCCTCCTCCTCCAGAGGATCTTCCCAACCCAGGGATCAAATTTGCATCTCTTATGTCTTCTGCTTTGGCAGGCAGGTTCTTTACCACCACTAGCACCACCTGGGAAGCCCCAAACATAGTTGTTCTTCTTTAAAAAAAAAAAAGAATTAGTTTCAAAAACAATAAACAAAGATGATTTATATAAAGCATAATGTCCTTCTAAATATTAATCAGGACTCTGACAATGCAAATGTTAACTGTAATATTCTTTTGAGTGTCTTTAAGGATTATTTACATTAATAATTCATATTTTTTCTCTTTTTTAAGCTGATAATAGAAAGATCTGCTTATTCATAAAAATTACAATTGTTTCCAATTAAGACAAAATTTACAAAGTTGCTAACACTTAAAGGAGTTTTGAAAATTCGAAATAAGTTATAAACATGCACTTAGTTTCTGAAAGACTTTTGAGTAAAATGTGATATCAACAATCAAAGATGATCTATATGCAAACTTTGAACTTACTTCAGCATTTCTCTTTATAAAAGTCAAGATGTTAATATGGAAATATAATTACATATGTACACATTTTCAATGAAAATAAAATGTTGAGGATCCACACAAATAAGCAGACATCAGAAGTAAAAGTTGTACTTAATTACAATCATGCTAAATTGAAGAAATAATTTCTAAGGTATCATAATTTTTTTACATGTGGCCATTGCCACTTAAAATTTCATTAAATTAATTGGTATGAAATATAGACAATATGGGCTTCCCAGGTGATACTAGTGCTAAGGAATCTGCTGCCAGTACAGCAAAGACACAAAAGACCCAAATTCAATCCGTGGGTTGGCAAGATCCCCTGGAGAAGGACATGGCAACCCACTCCAGTATTCTTGCCTGGAAAATCCTATGGACAGAGGAGCCTGGCAGGCTACAGTCCATGGGGTTGCAAAGAGTCAGACAAAACTGAGCACTAGTCAGCAGCAGCATAGAAGATATATCTGCATAAACAAAGGGATAAAATAATCATAGAATTGGAAAAGGGATTATGTTGTGTTTTTCTTTTTAATTCAGACAGAACTACAATTTAAACCCATCATCTTAAAAGAAAAACTGCTACTGCCTCCATGCACCCTCCAGTTCCTGGGGTCCCATACCTAGGCTCAGTCCCCAAGCCAACTGAGATTCAAGATTTTAGAAGCTAAACATGGAAGCATCTCCTAGTTAACTTGCAGCTAGATAGTTCAGGGTTACTGTTACAAGTCAAACTACCCAACTATTTTGATTCTAATAATAGGGCCTTTGTTTCCATGCCAAGTGTACCACTCCTGAACTTCTAATGTCCTAAATCCTGAAAGTCTTTTATTACTGCTCAGAGATCCTTATTCCTTCAGTTTTATTCTCCCTTTTCTCACATAAATGACCTAATTCTTTCATATCCTAATATGTTGAAAGGGTAAGAATGAGCCAAGGCTTAGATGAACCAAGCTGAGCTTCTTGATGTCACACGGATTACTTTTTATTCAGAAATTGAATACAGCAATAACCTCAGTGGAATTCTTCAATTCCATCTCTAGGTTTCTCTGTTTACAATCATAGGAATGTAATGGAGACTAAAACTTTTAACATTCATAAAATAATTCAGCAAAAATAACTCTAGACTTGCCCAAAGTTACAGATATAATTAGGTAAACAAGTTATTCTTCCCCACTATCTACCAACAATTTCTTTAGTTGTAAGATTATAATGGAAAAATACTTCTTCCACTGAAATGGCGATCATTAAAGCAAATGTCTTTTTTTAGGCATTTAGGTTCTGTTTTTAATCAGGTTCCAAGGGTTATTGAATATCTACTGTTCTCAAGAAATGTCACAAAGTAAAATGCATGTGTGCTAAGTCCCTAGTATCCTACGCTTTGCGACACTCTGGACTGTAGCCTGCCAGGCTCTTTTCTCCATGGCATTCTCCAAGCAAGAATACTGGAGTAGATTCCCATCCCCTTCTCCAGGGGATCTTCCTGACACAGGGATTGAACCCATGTCTTCTGCGTCTCCTGCACTGCAGTCGGATTCTTCACTGCTGAACCACTGGGGACACCTGTCACAAAGATAGGGAATACTAAAATGACCTAAACAGGGCTGTTGGTCTTAAGGAGAGTATACTCCAGGCCACAAGTTAATACAACTTTATCAACATTATTGTTAATTCTCATGGCTATTTGGGATATGGTGTTGTAGGAACTTTGGGAGAGATTATCAGAGCAGATAAAATTTCTTTAGGATTTATTTTATTGCTCCAAATTTGCTCCAGATTTGATGGGATAAATATTACTTAGGAAAATTGGAGCAGTTACATCTAAGATCCAGCCAGGTTACTAAATCAAGCTCTCCACTGGGCAGGGGTGGGGAGGGTGATGCAAGGTGGAGAGGCTCAGTCTCAGTGATTACAAAAAGCTGCTCTAGTGCTTCTCAGGCACCTTTTTTTGAGAATCACTACCTTATATGATGGGGGCTTCCCTGGTGGCTCAGTGGTAAAGAACCCATCTACCAATGCAGGAGACATGAGTTCAATCCCTGAGTCAGGAAGATCTCTTGGAGAAGGAAATGGAAACCCACTCCAGTATTATTGCCTGAGAAATCCCATGGGCAGAGGAAGCTGGCAGGCTACAGTCCATAGGGTTGCAAAGAGTCAGACACAATTTAGTGACTAAGCATGCATGCACACCTTGTCTGATACCATCTTAAAAAGTTTTCTCCCTAAGAACCTTGCTACTTAAAGTGTGACCTATGGACCAGCAACATGACATCACCTGCGAACTTGTTAGAAATTCAGAATCTCAGGCCCCACCTCCACCCTACTGAACCATAACCTACATTTTGACAAGATCCTCAGGCAATACATATGGGCATTAAATTTTGAGAAATGCTGTATTACAGAACTATGGGATTGGAGAAACACATGTTACCCAATGTGCACAGAATTATGCTAGAAGTGTTTCAAAGGTGTATAATACACAGTAGCTTAAAATGGATAAAAATGTAAATTATGGTTTTAATTAATGGGCAGAATTTAGCCACCATGATTGTTATAAATGAGGTACAAAGTTTTCCGGGTAGTCAGCAATGAAAGACTTATGATAAATGACTTGGGATTTAGCAGTGATTAACTCCCTGAAGACAAATGAGGTCTGAAGCATAACTGACTTTGCTACAGTACCGTATCTAAGGGGTGCGCTAATCTATGTGCTAGTCTGGGCTATGGTCAGATGCACAGGGCTTCCCTGGTGGTTCAGTGGTACAAAATTGCCTGCCAATGCAGGAACTGTGGGTTTAATTCCTAGGTCAGGAAGATCCCCTGGAGAAGGAAATGGTAACCCACTCTAGTATTCTTGCTTGGGAAATCCCATGGACAGAGGAGCCTGGTGGGCTATATAGTCCATGGGGTCGCAAAGAGTCAGACATGACTCTGACTGAACAACAACAAATGAGAGGTGGCGATGAAGCACCATGGAGCCAGGTGCCATGGTTTTCTGTTAGAAAGTATTAAATGGAGTAACTGGAAGAATGAAGGAAAATTTCAGGGTTGGAAAAAGAAATTATATTACTGTTTCCAAAGTAATTATATTACTGTCAAATGTTAAGTTTTACATTCACTATCTCTATAAGCAAGGGAATACCTGCACAAGAGCCAAATACTGTTAGGCAGGGAGGGAGAAATGGTATTAAAGATATGACTCGGATTTATCTCTGGGGTGTTACATTTCCTTCTTTTTTTGTTTTCAACAAATTGATTTTAATATATCTTGCAGGATTCTATTCCCACTCTCCATGTTTTAAGTTTCTCTCCAATCTAGCAATGTAGATGTCTAATGGTCACCCTGGGCAGGGCTATTGAATATTAAAAGATTCAGACTGCAAAAAAAAAAAAAAAGAGAGAGAGAGAGAGATGAAGGCTACAACCAGCTGCCACTGGCCAAATCCAACACAGAGAAGTGTTCTGCCTACCATTACTATGATCTACTCATTTGTTGTTTAATTTGAATATTTTTAAGGCAGACATGAAACAGTCAATTTTTAAAACTTAACTGTCTCTCTTTTTATATAGCTACATTTATGTCCCTGATCCCTTTGGGCATTTGTGTTTGCAACTCTTGCATCTGTTGAAGATTGTGGAAATCAGAAATTCTCAACTCTAATTTTTTTCAATGACTTTATTTACAGAACTGTAGATTACAGGTTGTTTATTTGGCATTATTCCTAGGAGAATTTTAAACACTGGGTTTAAATTGCTGTTCTGTACAGAATAAAAATCAGAAGGCTTGAAAATATTTACATTCCAATAGCCTTAGGAACACAGTGAAAAGAAGCCTTGATGGTTTGTGGGTCAAAGGTCCTATTAAAGTTCAACCAATGTATGTTCTGTTAAAAAATTATCATAGCTTCCCTTTAACATTGACTGAGAAGGAAGGAGCAGGCGGCTCTGCCCATGTTCACTGCAGAGTTACTCTGTTCACTCCTAGAAGTGAAACTGGTAAGTGAAGCATTTATTAACCTGAACATTGATTTTATCATATATTTGAAATATTTGTCATGTAGATTATATTTGATTCACTTATATCATAGATGTGCTTGTTATACAAGTTTAAATGTCTTCCTTTAAACTGTAAATGAATGCACAAGCCATACATTAATTAATTCACTACTCTGTTGACTCAGTGAGATTTCTGGGAGACCATCTAGATTGACTTTCTACTATTGTTTTAATGGAACATCTAAGCATCTAGTAGAAATAGGTACTTCTTATACATCTGACCAAACATGAGTAGCCTCATCACTCCCCAGGATTTAGGAAAAATTAGAAGGAATACCATCTAGGTAAGACTCCTTCAGAAAAGAAAATTTGAAAAAAGAAAAAAAGTGGGGTGAGGGGGTAATCCAAGTCATGCTAGCTACTGTTGTTACCTAGGTCAAGATGCGTTTCCTAAGTATCCTTCATCCTGCAGAGGAAGAGCTGTTTCCATAATCTCTTTTTTATCACCCAGGGTTGGTGCAGATGGTGCCTGATGCTGTAACCCTAGCAAAAATCCATCGTCGTTTTGGACCAATAGGACCCTTGAAAGGAAATACAATCAAAAAATGGTTCAGTCAGCACAACCCTTTAAAGGTGGATTATGAAAAGGTTTGTCCTTCTGTGGCTAGTTTTAAATGATGTACTTAAATAAGGATATACACTGGCTCATTAGATATTCTGATTTATGAAAAAATAGAGTTCTCTTGAGTTCTTGAGTTCTCTTGAATGCTAATGCACTCAGTCACAGTCTAGTAATAACAACACAGTTTAAATGGTATATTGTTTTCGTTGTTCAATCGTTAAGTCCTGTCTGACTCTTTTTGACCCTATGGACTGCCATATGCTAGCCTTCCCTGTCCTTCACTGTCTCCTGGAGTTTGCTCAGATTCGTGTCCATTGAATTGGTGATGCTATCTAACCATCTCATCCTCTGCCACACCCTTCTCCTCCAGCCTTCAATCTTTTCCAGCCCCAGGGTCTTTTCCAGTGAGGCAGCTTTTTGAATTAGGTGGCCAAAGATTTGGACCTTCAGCTTCAGCATCAGTCCTACGAATGAATATTCAGGGTTGATTTCTTTTAGAATTGACTGGTTTGATCTTCTTGCAGTCCAAGGTACTGGTATATTAACTCAGTAAAAATTTCTGTGTTTGGTTTTTCCTCTGGGTGGAAATTCTGGGCTATAAATAGAGACTTAGCAGCCTCCTTTACAGCCATCTTACATGAGATGATGCTTCCTGAAACTATCTTCTCTAAGTTACCTCTGCCTATTTGTCTACAATCTATAATTTCTATAAATCCCCCTCCCTCCTTTGCAATGTATTTTCCTCTGCCAAGTTTTGTTTTCTCATGCCTTATTCTTTTAATGTTTTCAGAATGCATAATAGAGTTTTCATTTTTTATCTCAGAATTTACAAAATGTAGTATTCCATTTGACTGCAAACATTTTCCCCACTTGACCTTGGCATCTAGCCTGCAGTGTACAGTGTTCAGATTCTGCCCTCAACCAGGGCTCCTAGACGAAAGAATGAGTTGACTAGAGCCAGGCCTTGCCCCACCTGCCAAAGCATGAACTGGTACACCTAGGTCCCCTAGAGAGGTAGGGACACCTTTATGCTGATTCACACAAAGATGCAATGTGGGCCAGCATCAGATTTGCTCAGAACCATCTTGAGCCCTAAACATCCCCCATTCTAGGAAACTACTCAGTCCTGGGCAAACTGGGAGGTTTGGTCACCCTAGTTGGCCTGGGACAGGCGAGAGAGACCCAAGATTTAATCCACTCCAAACTTCTATGAGATTGAGTGAATCAGTGAAAGTTGCTCAATTGTGTCTGACTGTTTGCAACCCCATGGACTATACAGAATACTGGAGTGGGTAGCCTTTGCTTTCTCCAGGGAATCTTCCCAATCCAGGGATCAAACCCAGGTCTCCTGCATCGCAGGCAGATTCTTTACCAGCTGAGCCATGGAATACAGCAAAATACAGGTTTGGGAGTCCAAATAACAAAGAATTAGATGAAATTTATCTTGAATCTATTTTTTACCCATTCCCAAAATTGAGACTTGAGTTAGGCACAAACCCTGAGGTTGTATTGCTTGAGGTGTTTCCACATACATTTAATATTCATAAATACCATGTGAAAGACATATTTTATTATCTTTATAAGTAAAGAAAATTGAGACAGACAAATTAAGGCACTTGGAATACCTGGAACTGACCCGGCATGTAGTCCAGCCACATAGACTTCCCTTCCCAAGGGTCAGCCACACTAGCTGAGGAGGTCCATATCTGTGGCTCAGCCTGTCACTCATGGTTGCACCATGGTTACACTCATCGTCCCATCATCCACCAAAATGATGTATACCCAGGAGACAATTTTTTTGTAGAAAAAAGAATTTTGGCAAGAAACCTGTGTTCATTAAAGAAACATAAGCCACAACTGACTTAATGGAAACTTCTTCCACCCACACAATTATATACTGTAGCAAACCCTTTGGGGCATTAACTGGACGACATATTTGTAAGGGATGAGACATCTCAATATAGTTTATTTTGTGTAAAAACTTCATATATTCCAAAATTGATATTTTAAATTTCTATAGGACTAGGCAATATTGAGCCATATTGTTCCTTCTTCTTTTACCTTGAAAAAAGTCATCCACTCTTGTGCAACTGTAACATTAAAAGATCACATTATGAATAAACTATGAAAATTGGCTTTAATTGAACAAAAGATATTTTCTCTCATTTCAACAAAAACACTCATTAAGCCAAAGAACAGACTGCTTTACCTTCTTCTGTAGCATATCAAGAACCAACCATTTAATCATATCTTCTCAACTGAGATGTAGAATCGGTTCCAGATGATACAATCCTGTTTTTTATCATACTTTTACCATTACCTCTGTGTTTGCTCATTTGTGTTTATATTACTTTTGTGTTACTGTTTTTCAACTGATTAGGTCTTAAGGAACTTTTTCTATTCCTGTGCTGGCTGGTGTGTGGTAACATTCATCCTGGGAGTCTGTGACAGACACAATGACAATATCATGCTAACAAAGTCGGGCCACATGTTTCATATTGACTTTGGAAAATTCCTGGGTCATGCACAAACCTTTGGAGGGATAAAAAGGTCAGTGCTCAAAACATGTTTATTGGAGTAATTAGGCAGTCTCCTGAAGTGATCTATAACATGTAACAGAATAGAAACCCAGCAGATGAGTTGCTCTACATCTCTCAAATCCCCTAAGATAGCATAAACATGATTATATAGCTAATAATATTGAAGGGAAGAGTTTTCTCAATAGATTATTAATGGAACAAATTGTGTTTGTGTGTGTGTGTGTGTGTGTGTGTGCTCAGTCGTGTCCAACTCTTTGTGACCCCCAAGGACTGTAACCCTCCAGGCTCCTCTGTCCATGGAATTTTCCAGGCAAGAATACTGGAGCAGGTTGCCATTTCCTACTCTATCTAGATCGTCCTGACCCAGGGATCAAAGCCTTGCCTCCTCTGTCTCCTGCATTGGCAGGCAGATTCTTTACTATTGAGCCACCTGGAAAGCCCTAACGGAACAAATTAGGTTCCTCAAATTGTTAGTGAATTAAATTGGCCTCCTCTCATAGGATCCTATTCCTGTTTTGGTCGGAATTGTTTGAAACATGGTATTTTCATTTTCTTATAAGCTTTAAATGGACAGTGAGGACAGAGTTCATGGTTTCAATACAGCTGGTATCTTGCCCATAGCAATCACCACCCTGGTTTACATGAGCACACTTCCTGACTAAATTAGTCTTGAATCATTCCAAAAATATTCAGTAAGCAACTACCATTCAAGACTCCGAGGATACAACAGTGGATGAAGCAAATACAAACCCTAACCTCTTTCTAGTATGGATAACAGACATCAAAGAAGATAACATGAGGAAATGAGGGGTTTCATTTCTTACTAAGAAACAAAAGCTGAGAATTGGGATAGAAAGTAACTGCGTGAGGAATGCTATTTGTGTTGGCCAAGAAGTTCGCTCAGGTTTTTCCATAACATTGTAAGAAACCTGAGTGAACTTTTTGGCCAATCCAATATTTTAGAGAGCCTTCCTGGAAGAAATGAGAGACAGCTGTATAGTGAGTGATCCCCTTGTGGAGATCCATGAGAAGAGTATTCCTGGAAGAGAGGACACCAAAATAACAGCCATGAGCACAGACTAAGCATGGTGTGTTCTAATGACAAGAAGAAGGCCTTGGGGCCTGGAGATGGGATACAGAGGTGAGCTGTAGGGAAGAAAGATGAAGAGTTTGCTGGAGGCCAGATCAAGTAGGGCATTGAAGACATGGTGTAGAGGATGGCTTTTACTTAACATTCAGAGGCAACCATTGATAGATCTCAATGGAATTCAAAGCTCTCTCCTGCTGTCCTGTGAAATAATGGAAGTAGTTAGCAGACTATTACAATAGTTAAGGGAAGACCTTAGTGGTAAAGAAGATTCCAAACATATTTTGGAATCTGAGCCACAAGACCTACTAATTGACTGGGCACTGTCAATCATTAGCAGGAGGGGAAAACAGGCCTGGTGGGTAGAAGAAATAAGGAAAGCATTCAAGGATGACTCTTGGATTTTTGTTCTTTGCAAATAATTATATCATTTACTGAAATGGAAAAGACTGGTGAATAAACAGGCTTGTGTTTTATTTTACTTGAACTGGAGGCAAGGGAACCAGAAGTCTAAGACTAAAAGTCCCTTGCTTTAAAAAGATAACTTCATATTAAAGTAGAAATGGTATCAGACCATTCCAAAGACCCATCAGTCACTTTTAGCTAAAAACACCTCCTCAACAGAGGACATCAAAATGTCTGCTACAATATTACAAGATGAATTTTCACTAGTTGGTCATAATCTGATATTAAAATGCCAATATAAACTACATAATAAGGTTCAGTTCTTACAAACTGATAGCTCCTATTTTCTGAAGGCCTACAAATGGAGTTGTTTCACTTTGTATCACTTTCAAAACATTGTCTTCTATAATTAATAAGCTCAGGAAAATTCACCACATACTCATTCGTTCCTTAAACATCTTTTGGTGTGGCCTATGTGTGAAGGACTATGATAAACCTTGGGGATACAAAGATGAAGAGTTTATAGTTATCACCTCAGTGGTGCTTACTCTGTCTTTAGAATAGTGGGAAGTGAAGTGAAGTGAAAGTCGCTCAGTTGTGTCCAACTCTTTGCAACCCCCTTGGAATTCTCTAGGCCAGAATACTGGAGTGGGTAGCCGTTCCCTTCTCTAGGGGGTCTTCCCAACCCAGGAATCAAACCCAGGTCTCCCGCAGCGCAGGCGGATTCTTTACCAGCTGAGCCACAGCCACCTCAGTGGTGCTTACCCTGTCTTTAGAATACTGGGAAGACCGACACATAAATAATTATCAAAAATGTGGTGAAGGAAAAGATAGAGGTATAGAAAATTAGAACATCACAGCGGAGGGATACCTGGTTTATGAAAGACAGATGTTCGTTAACAGCTATGAGCATATTACATAATTTACTCATGTAACACTTTCCCTAAGATCCACTCTTTCCTAGAAATTTAAAGATTACATTAAAATTGTGACATCTTTATTGTGCTGTATTGCCCACTGGGGGGGCTTCCCAGGTGGCACTAGTGGTAAAGAATCTGCCTGTCAGTGGAGGAGACATAAGAGATGTAGGTTTGATCCCTGTGTCGGGAAGATCCCCTGGAGGAGGGCATGGCAACCCACTCCAGTATTCTTGCCTAGAGAATCCCATGGACAGAGGAGCCTGGTGGGCTATAGTCCATAGGGTCACAAAGAGATGGACACAACTGAAGCAACTTAGCACATACGCACGTCGCCCACTGAGAATTCAGGTTAACCCTTATTCATTTATTAGATAAGCATCTGTGTTGACCACGGGGTGGTTAAAATATGCATAAAGATATTCCAATTACACAGAAAAAAATTCAGCTGGGGAAACAAAAAATAAAGAACAAGTTACTAAACAATAGGGTAAGTGCTATATTAGCAGTATATACCAGGGTCTACAGAAGAGGTGGAGCCCAGTTCGTTGGTTTATTGATGCTTCAGCAGCTTCTGCTGCTTCTGAAGTGTGACAGTTTTTTTTAATGCAACCTCTAAGAAGGTCATGAAAATGTGCCCAGCAGAGAACCTTACTTCGGTAGGTTCTTAATACCATTTGCTGAATTGTTGTTTAGCCACTAAGTCAAGTCTGACTCTTTTGTGACCCCATGGTCTATAGGGTCTCGCCAGGCTCTTCTGTCCACGAGATTCTCCAGGCAGGAATACTGGAGTGGGTTGCCATTTCCTTCTCCAGGGGATCTTCCTGACCCAGGGACTGAACTCTCATCTCCTGCGTTGGCAGGGGGACTTTTCACTGCTGAGCCACCAGGAAAGTCCTTGCTGAATTACTCAGCCAATAAACTATTCACTAGTCAGCCCTCAGCCATTCAATAATTACTAACTGGATGAAAGAAAATGAAGTTGGCACTGTCTTTCCTTGAGATTATTGGGCACCGGCTGAGGTGGCCAACAGAAGCATTATGATCCACGTGGATTATTGTTTGCAGGATTTTATCTCCACCAGTGACTATGTAAGGCTCATTGGCAATGTCTGCTTGGATTTCTTTCTTGATACTGATACTTCTGCCCTTTTTTCCTTTTCTTTTTTCGGCTGTCCTGGGTCTTCTTTGCTGCATACAGGCTTTCTCTAGTTGCAGTGAGTAGGGGCTACTCTTCATTGCAGTGCACGGGTTTCTCATTGCGGGCTCAATAGTCGTGATGCAGGGGCTTAGTGGCTCTGAGGCACGTGGAATCCTCCCCAAGCAGAGACTGAACTCATGTCATCTGCACTGGCAAGTGGATTCTTAACCACCAGTTGATTCTTAACTGGACCAGGGAAGTATTAATATATGCCTTGAGTTTCTTTAATGATTAACCTGAACTATGCCTACTTTATTACTCTATATAGATTCATATTTTGAATTATAGCTGCTGCTTCTACTGCTGCTTAGCTACTAAGTCATGTCTGATTCTTTAGCGACCCCATAGTAGCCCACAATGGGGATTTCCCAGGCAAAAACTGTCCATGGGATTTTCCAGGCAAGAACTGGAATTGGTTGCCATTTCCTTCTCCAGGGGATCTTCCCGACCCAGGCATAGAACCCACATCTCCTGCTTGGCAAGAAGATTCTTTACAACTGAGACATCTAGGAAGCCCTGAATCTCAGGCAACATCCAATAATTTCCTTCCATATCTCTTTCAGTTGTTTCTGGAATTCATTTGAATGTTGTTTCATTAAGCAGCCAACTCTTCAATCCTAAGTCCATTGGTTGTTCTTGGTTGCTAGGTGAACAAAGGTCTCTTATAAAAAAGGCCTCTGAATCCCCCTGCGATAAATGTGTTCATTACTACATTATATAACTGATCTCTAGAGCAAAACCTAACTACACCTTGCTTATTTTATATACATACTAGACATATTAATAAACATCCTCTAATGTACAAAGCCAGGTTTGTAAATCATGCTCTATGACTATTCTAATCTCTTATAGCCTAGCAAGGCCATATAAATGTCCCAGTAATAACCAGCAATAAACCAGGATCATACTCCTTTACAAAAAATGCTGTACCCACAGGGAAAAAAGAGCATATGTATCCCAGAATGCATATTTCTCCTATTTGTCTACTCCTTAAAAACATGGAGAAGGAAAGTATTCGTGTGATTTTTTATGGTTTATAAAGTGTCACTAACCCCATACATTAACTGATATTACTTCATAAGACAATTGCTTAACCTCACATAAAAGAGTACAGTTTCCAGTTGTGAATGGGAATGGAGTTGACAAAAAGAAATCACATACAATCCTTCTCTATATTGCAGATTTAACCCTTAGCCAAGGATACAGAACTTAATAATGGAAATTAATGATCCAACAAAGCAGATGCAAATAAATTGAAGCTAGGGAGAGATGTCCCCTTGGTTTCCTTAAAAGGAAGCAGTAATGAAGTGACATTCTCCGTAAAAATACGATCTTGAAAAATAAAGGACTTTGTTGCTGTTTTTTACCATGCCCTGAAGCATGCAGGACCTTAGTTTTCC